CCCAGAAAAAGTCAAACCTAATTGCAAAATATTAGACTATGGGGAAAAACAGGGCAAGGCCCTTCTGAATCCCCCCCCCCCCCCCCCCCCCCCCCTGACTTTGTTTTACTTTCAGAGGGAATGCCCTGCCCCCATAAATCCCCTGTAGTTGTATTGGTCCAAAGCACAGAAAGCTACTGCGCAATAGGCTAAGCTTACTATAGTTGGAACAAAAACCATTCTGTGCTCAGAGTCGCGAGAAATTAACCTCTGGTCAGTAACGAGGGAGGGATTTATAACAGGGACCCGAAATGTTGTGTATGGAGAATGTGGTGGTCCCTTGATATATATATATATATATATATATCGCGACCTCAGTGCTTTCTTGTCGTATCTCCATTTTTTTTTTAAACAGTGAAAATATGGCATCTGCTTAAGCTCACACTTTGCTATGAACTGTGACTTCTGCTTAAGCTCACACTTTGCTGTGAACTGTGACTTCTGCTTAGGCTCACACTTTGCTATGAACTGTGACTTCTGCTTAAGCTCACACTTTGCTATGAACTGTGACTTCTGCTTAAGCTCACACTTTGCTGTGAACTGTGACTTCTGCTTAAGCTCACCCTTAGTAATGAACTTGTTTTCACAGTTATTAAAAATGGAGATACAACAAGAAAGCACTGAGGTCGCAAATGCGTATTGGGTCAAGTGGGGGGGGGGGGGGCGCGTTCTCTTAACTTTTACCAGAGAGAGCGCGCTTGTCGCGTCGCGTCGCCAGTAGCGGCTCAGGAGAAGTAGCGCCACACGCAGTACATGAGCACACAGCTGGCCAGCATGAGCGCCACCATGATGACCTTGTCCTGGCCTGTGCGCCTTTTTCTATGAGCCGCATAACCGTGTTGGTCAGCCCCAGCGTGTTGCCGATGTCCAGGATGCGCCGCTGGGCGCCCTTCAGCGTGACGCGCTGGTCGCGTAGGCCCGAGATGATGCTGCCGCCGTGGCTGAGTAGGTCGTCCAGCTGTCGGTGCGAGTCGTTGAGGCGCGAGTGGTGCTGCAGCGCCGGGTCGATCATCACCGAGTGCTCCTGCTCGTTGGTGGTGAATGTGCGCGACAGGAGGGCCTCCCGTTCGCTCTCCTCCTGCTCTCGCATGTACCTGTGGGGGAAAAAACAACGTACGTATAATTAATTTATACGTAAAAACTCTCCTCCTGCTCTTGCACGTACCTGCGGGAAACCAGAGTACGCTTACAGGTGAAAAGGAACTCTCTTTGCTTTTAAACATAACTGCGGAAACCAACGTACATATACGTTAAAAACTCTCCCTGGTAACACACATACCTGCAGAAAACAATAGTGCATCTATCTATCTATGTGCTATATATATATATATATATATACAATTAAACGTCATTTTTAACAAAATTTATGTGCTATATATATATATATATAATATTATGTATATATTATAGGGCCTATATATTTTAAAAAAATATATTTATGTCATATGCACATTTTTATATATGCGTAGGTATGTATGTATAAATGTGTGAGAGTGTGCGCGTGCGTGCATGTATGATGTAATGGTTATTATTATCAAGCGTTAGTGCACCAAAACTAATCCCACAAAGCTTTCACATCCAGATCGTTTTTCCCGTCGTACCAGCAACTACAATAATAATAATATCGCACCCCGCTAAATAAATCCGCCGGCGGCCCGCTCGTCCCATGCTCAAGACTCACCAACCAACAATATGAGTACTGGAGGCAAGGAAGGAGTCTGCTCAACCACTCACTCACTCACTCTGAGATAGCCGTGGTGTCCCTTGGGGAAGTCGTTTGGTGCTTTTTTGCCGGTCATGGGATTATAAAGGGCAGACAGGTACAGGGCTGGGCTTGACTCCTACAGACATATTCTTCTTCTGACTACAAGTCTTAGTGTTATTTCTTTTCTTTCCCGAGATACGATTTTCATAGAAATGGTTTTTCCCCCAATCCCTTTCGCTTTGTTTTATCTTTCTTTCTTTATGATCTAGCTGCCTGTTAGTGTTTTACGTTGTTGTTGCAGCTGCGAGCTACATGAAACACTTACTAAAAAAAAGGTGATTTTTTAAACTGTTGTTGTTGTTGCTTTGTCTTGTTTCTGGATTGTTGTTTTTTTTAAAGGGAGAAAGGACTAGGTTGTTGTTGTTGTTTTTTTGGGGGGGAGGGAAGGTTTTGCATTTAATTGTTTATTTATAGGCTTCTTAAGAATTTCTTGGAAAGAGGATGCTTTGTTTAACGTGTGATCATCAAAAGTGATGAGTATTATTACTTCAGGACTACGCTGTGTGAGTCAGTGCTTGCTTGCTGTTGTTCTCGTTGTTATTGCTTTTGTAATTGTTATCGTTATCGTTGTTGCTATTGTTATTGTTATTTTTGTTGTTTTATGGTGTGGGTATCGTGCTATTACTGCTGCTATTGCTGTATTTATTGCTGTTTTAGCTTTGGGGTTTTTGTGGGGGG